AGAACAATTAAGAATTGTTAAACGATTTCGCAAAAGTTTCAAGTTTCAAGTAATAGAAATAAGTAAAAAGTATGAGGTACAAAACTTAAACTTCTAATATTTCAGACATTTGATATTCTTTTCATACAATTTTTAATAACACGATGCAATATGCAAATTATGTGGCAATATATGGATGAATGTACGTGATTTTTATTTAAAAATAATAAAAAGATTACTAAAGAATTATTTTTTATTTTTTAAAAATATAAAACACTCCTTCTTCTATTTATTGTTTCAAATTAAATCATGCACCTTTATTACTTTAGCATCCACAATCATTTGACAATTAATTTCTATAAATTCAATTGAAAAAAATATGAATCAAAAGGATCAGTCAGATTTGATTTAATTTTATCACAATTTATCTTGTTCAGCATACTTGAAAGCCCACTTCTTTGAAAGCTGACTATTTCCAAGAATTAGTATGTATAACAATGAACGCTTTTTATTACAGTACTTGAATTCAAATAACATTCCACTAAATTAACCAAGGCTTTCAATTACTTCAATTCAAACTGCTTGAGTACAAGTAACACGACTAATATGAATGAGGCTTATCATATTAAATGCATTCTCATCGTGTTCTTCCAATACAAGGGAAAGTAGGAAATAGACAGTAAATACAACAAATTCGGAGTGAACAACATGGAGAAAATGCTTTCTTCTTGGCGCGAAAATGGCATTCTGTCGATAAACGGAGCGTGAGTACTATATGTTTGCCAAAAGCAAATATCAAGATGGAAAGTAACTATGTCCCTATGAGACTTGGCTCGCGAGAACGAGCGTGTTTCGCGTGCAACGAGTGTCAAATCGAACAGAGATGCATGGAAACCATCAAGGCTCGCGCTCATTGGTCGCCTGTATATTGATTTTCAGCAAGAAAACGGTGAACTGAACTACCCTCAAAAGAGAGTAAACCTTTTGTGTCGTGCGCGTGCTTTCTCAACCATAAAATCAACCTCGCCTTCGATGCTGGCGAATATCCGTTTAAAACTTGGTACGTACTTGTTTGGAAACGTTTACGAGCAAAAATTCACGTATGAATCATTAAGATGCTCTAAAGTTATTAAATAATCGTGAAAAAATCAAATTTTCTACTATAATAATATCGGTAAAATATGCGTAATTTTAAATACTCATCAATTTGAATAGATAGTGATGGGAAAGAATATAGCAAGATTCGAACAAGACAAGATATGAATCCTTTACGAATATTATGAAAAAAAGGAGCGATAATTTTTTAAATGGAATCATACTACTAAATAAACTAATAAACATTACTTTTTAATAATAAATATTTGATTCTTCGAAATAAATTTGATTTGGATTTGATTGGATTAATTTCTTTCAGATTTGATTTAGATTTATAAGCATATAATTTGATCCTATCATTAGAGATTATCCCGAGAATCAATTCGATAAATTCCATGAACATTAACCAGCTTTTTTCCCAGTTCTTTTTAAATAGGAATCTTGATAACGACGTCGTTTCGTTCTGCTTTGCATCTTTACGATCAATAAAAAATCGTTCGTTTCGTTTCGAGAGAGTCGTTTCTCTCGAACGAGGACCGAGGATTATGAACTCTTCGAAGAAATTTATAATATCAATTATAATAATTTTTTTGAGGAAAGAAAAAAAATAATCACTCGACAATGTCGCGGACAGGCCGTTACTTTCGACTAGAATACAGTGAAACAATGCGGTTCTTATCGTAGACGAGAAAGGAAACCGTTTATCGCGGCGGACAATAGAAAGAGGAAGCCAGACTTGTATGTATTACGCGTTACATTTTACGTCCCACATGCATACCGAGTCTTGTAACGCGTTTGAAATGCGGTTGCATGTACAGGGTGTTAATACAATGCTATACTTTGGATTGAATATCTTAGAAATCAAAACAAATGCAAAAGTTGATGTATAAACATGCAGATTGAAATTTATTGAGTTGCAAATGAGTGAAGTTTGCATTAAATGAAATGGAAATAGAAGCAAAAACTTTTCACTTAATTATTTATAATTTAATAAATAAATAATTGACATTCTTGTAATAATAGATTATATATTGAATGTTGATTTGTTAGACTTATTTAGAAATTTATTATAAAAATATTAAATTTGATATTATAGATTAAATTTAAAATTTTCTTACCAAAAAATTATAGAAATCAGAAGGATAATATCAAAAATATTAGATATTAAATACAATTAATTAAATATCATGAAGAAAATATGAAGAATTAAATATATTTTAACTACTAAATGCTATTAGAAACGTTATTAAATATAAATAATAACACTATCTATGTAAAATACGCAACATATATAGTGGAACAAAACATGATTTAAAATGTCGCAATTCAAAATGCATATTTCAGTCTTGTATAAATTAGAATATCAAAATTACTACATTTTGTTAAAAATGAAAAATTAAAATCTATTTTTTTTCAATATTACTTGGTAAATAATTTGTTTATAATTCCATAAATAATTTTCGATTATTTTTCAAAAATATACATTGTTTTGATACATACCTGATATATAATTAAGCAATCAAAGAAAAATTTTTCATTTATGATAAAATGCAATGCGATATTAATTCAAATTTCAAAATGGCTAAAAACTGTATAAATATTTCGAGAAAATAATTTGGTGAAGATGCAATGCCACGCAATAAATTATTTTCACTGGTTTCACGGATGTGTCGTTTAACTCGGGATGGTCGATCGTTCGAAGATAATTTCCGTACATGAGGGAGACATAAAATTTAACGCGAACCTTGGTACACGATGAACCGTTGAGAAGAACCGAGGGTGAAAATGCAGACAAACTCGTAACGTTGAAGTTTTCTGTGCTTTGGAGAGTCAGCCAGATCGTACGATAAACGACGTAAAAGCATGGAGGAATTTATTGTCGCCTTTATGAACACCCGCGTATTTCATCACATCAAATAAAAATGCATAAACTTGTTCCATACATAAAGCTTTTTTCACATGACGATATAAGTACACTCGTCATATTCGTATGATGAATATCAATATATATCTAACTCGATAATCAATATAAAAATTCAATAACATAGTGTAAATGGCGCTTTATGATATGTACATATAATGGATACATGAGATTGTTATCCATTGTCATAAAAATATGGAAACTTTGATTAATTGGATTTCTAATCTAATTCCAAAAATAATTTTAAGCGACATTTTCTTTTGTAAAAACTTTTATTAACAAAAATTATTAACTAGTAAGAAAAAATACTGACCAATCATAGAGCACATAGATTTGTCCAATCATGGCAGATATTCAATGCTGTGGCTTAATGCCTATAAGCTCTGTGATTGGTCAGAGAATTTTTGTTAGTAACTCGTTAGCAAAGCAAAACGAAAGATTTTAAGCAAAGGAAAATATCAGTCTTATTAAGCTTGTATATACATAAATTAGTATTCATTTTATTAATACACGATTATATTGTATGATGTGTTGTAGTGATTTTTGTAAAAGAAGCTAAGTATCCGTTATGTATAGATATACTATACTAACAAAATTAAACAGCCCATAAAGTATACATTGCAGATTCAAAAAGCAGTCAAGTGAGCAAATAGTTTTTTGATTTTATTTGTACGATTATCAATGTGATTTAAACTTATTGTTCAATAGCATTATACATGAATCAGAATGATTCGAACAAAATTGAAGAAGAAATTAGAAAATAACCTAAAAGAAAGTACTAACAATTGAAATATTTTTATACGAAATAGTTTTCAATTCTTTGCCGTAGCATATTGTTATAAAAAATCTGTAAAAATATTTTTCAAAACAAATATTTATCATTCAACAAAATCAACATTATCATCATTTTTAATTGGATCAATTGAATTTCACAATTGTAAGTATAATGTATTTAACCTAACCTAGCTATTTTAAAGTTTAGAAAATTGAAAATTGATTTTCTTTATATCTATTATATATTTATATCATTAAAATATAAATATATGTAATTTATAATCATATATCAAAAGTTTATTACGATTATAATATATTTTTTAAATCAATCAATGGTATTAATTATAACCTTCATTTTTTTCAATATTCAATTATTTAAATATTGTTCAAATTTATTTTTAATTCAATCTTAAATATTTTGGATATATCCAAAAGAATTTTAATATTCGGTTTAGATTATTATTCAGATTATTATATATTCAGATTTTCACAGATAGGTCTATAAGAATTAAAGATGACTCTTAAGTTTTGTTCGTATAGATGCAACGATCGATAAGCATTAACAATAAGGTTTCGAAGAACGAGGAAGTCGATGCATTGTTATAAGCCTCATTCTTCATGATATATCTTATCCGCGATGAGAACGATTAACGATGAATTTTTCGAAGATTACACCGGTATTCTCTGTCGATTCGACGGATTGCATTGGATACCGTTGATGTATAAACAGTCGCATACACTAATACATACATACATACATACATACATATATATACGTTTGAAGCAAATTGCTCGCGTCCACCAGTGTTTACATTATTTCTTCATTTACATACGCGCCGGGCGACCTATTCAGTGACGATGCACATAGGATACATTCCTTGAAAAGAGCTTACAAAGCAATGGCGTATTTATGAGGCAACACAGGTTGAATTTATTACCATACAGAGAGAGTGTTCAACTGGACAACGTTAGAAATATTTCCGTTGTTTCTTGTTTTATAATAAGAAATCTTTAGTAGATGTTACTTATATTATAAAGATATTTTTTTTATTTTTTTTGAATCAAAGATAATTTTCGTTTTAAATCATCTCTAATTAATTTAAATAATTTTTCAAAGTAATGATGGATAAAAGACATTATATATTGAAAGTAAATTAAACATTTTTCAAAAAATAGCGATTAAAAAAACTTTATATTTAAAATAATTTTTTGTTCCAGAATTGATCAAGTGCCAATTAAAAAGAATTGAAAATTTATTTCACAATTACAATGATATATTAATAAAAAACATTTATTTAAAATATGGTAAGTGAATTTATTAATTAAAATAATAATTCTTTAAAATATTTTAAAAATAATTGTTTGAAATAATATTTTATACTTATAAACTTTTATTTAATAAAGAAAAATCAAATAATTATGTTAAATAGTACTTAAATTGCTACAAAAATAAATTACTACAATTAATCATTTAAGATAGTTGAAAAAATACTTCTACATATATAAATATATTTTTATTTCAGATCTTTATCTGGCGGCAAATGAAACGGCATATGTGAAGCTCTTTTCGATAAAGTATTAACGGTTCGTAGATGCAATTAACCACTGATTTTTCCATAACGAACTAAAATTAGAAATTCAAATTGATTTTTTTTCTTCTTGCTGCCAACCGAGGTAGAAAAAAAATATTGCATCGTTTCGACCGTTTACCGCCACGAATTACGATTGATTCTTATATTTTTTTCTATTAATAGCTGCTGCAACTGTATTACAATCAAACCAAGCAGAATTACTGGTCAATTTTCTCCGGAATGGAATGATTTCGCAATCGTTGCGGAAGGTGATGGCAGTCTAGGGTCGACGACCACGATATTCACGTGAGACGATCGTTAGACGTTCCATAGGAGCATTTGTGTCGAAAAATGAATCAAATTTATCATATAATTGAAATAAATTAACTCTAAATTAATCTTTTTATGTTCAATGTTGCGAATATAGAATATGATACTTTATTTAGTTATTAATATTTCTTTTTGGCGAAACATATTTCTTTATTCTATGTTACATCTTCTTTACAAAGACATAAATATATATTTTTATTATTAATATAATAATTAATAAAAAAGAATTTTTGGAAATTATTTAAAAAAAGAAATCCAATATTGATTTTAATGAAAATATATATTGCAAAGGACATTATTTTAAATTTTTTCTTTTCAAGAAGATATAAACGTTAATACAACTACCGAATACTTTTCTTATTTTTCTTGAAAAGAATTTGATTCCAAAAAGATTGAAATATCTCGTCTAGCATTTTGAAATATCTAAGAAAAGAGAAGTTTTATGATTTTCATTATGACATCTGTTTAATAGTTTATATTTTCAATCATATTTCTTAATTTAAAATAAAATGTACATATACATCATAATTTTTAAACTTTTAATTTTTCCTTTTAAAGCATACTTCTAATTTTTACAATAACCTTTAAAAAAAAATAATAACTAACATTTTTTTAAAGCTTTTGAAATTTAAAACGTATATATATCGTTTCACATTATTTAATTATGAAATTTAAAACTCAAACAATGCTATAATGATTCGATCTAATACAAAGGGAACCGTGTAAACAAAATTTCCAAATTGTCGACCTATTTTTGACCAAGAACGGTTTATATTACAGACAAGTATCGCTGACGAGTATCAACAAATCGGCGATAATACTGATATTGCGAATTCGAGATTCGCTGATTCAGCGAATAAAGGTGCACGGTTACGATCATGTGGCATCGTTTTTAAACGCAACACGATTCTTTACAGAAAAACAATAGCTTGTTTGCTTTTTCCCTCCCCGCTCGATTATGCAACGTGATTCTGCTATCACGGTGACGATCCGTTATCATTGTAAAGCTTCCAAGAATTTGTCGCTATAATTGTTCTTCAAATTATTTGTTTTAATACTCTCTCTCTTGTTTTGCTCTTCCATTGCATGGAACGTTTACTTGTTTCGACGACGTTTAAAATACATGCTGTTTGTATAGCGAAGATTCGGTAGTGTGTTTGATAAGCGGTTTTATCAATACAATTTTTAAATATTACGCTTGTTGTGATTTAGATAACCGTCGAGACGCGCAATATGTACGTAAATCTTCCTTCACGCGGAACTCGGGTATGCGATACTCGTTCTTTTGCATAACAATTCACGATCCACGTGTGATACGTATATCTGGATCACGAGATATTCGACGCAGTATCTAATTTAATACGATATTATCCTCGTTCAATATATTCATTGCCGATGACGTGAACGTACGTGTAAAAATTTTCTATCTTACGATCGTGTCATAAATTTTCTTCCAAGAAATGTAAAAGAGTTTTGAGAAATGTTCAGTTTTCTATTTGCATACGAATTCAGTACGAATTGTTATTAATGTATATATATTCATGGGATAGCTTTGGGAGAAAGATGGATTCTGGAGAATAAAAGAAACATAAAAATTTACTTATTAAATTATAAGCAATTTGAAGTTTTTGTCTCTCACACCATCGTGCAACTAGTGTGCATGCTATCATTTATTTCTACGTATATTTCGTCGGCCATTTTGATTCAAAGAAAATCGTTAGTAAAAGATCGATCGAAAATATGTACGAGGAAATAGCGATTTTGAATTTTAGACGAAGAAATCTTTATCTAAATGCTTTTATAATTACACGTAATTTTTGTTATCACATTCTCCATTAATTTCGAAAATATATAATTAATTTGGAAAAGCCATGACATTAAATTTTATTACATCCTGCATCATAGAATTGCGATTTACAAATCATTGTGTGAAAGAGACTTAAGTAGTTACCGCTTATATACAGTGGTGCTTGATTAAATTTTAATGAAAACTGCATTGTTTTTTAATGATCCATCTCCACTTTCGCGAGCCTCAATGCCTGTTCACAGTAGATAAGGAAAAAGAATAGATGTAACTAGAGGAAATAGAATATACACAACATGAACATATACATGTCAAGAACTGCAAGAACGGCACTTTAAAGAGATGCTGCAACAGGAAAAAATAATCATAAGATAAAGAAAATTAAATTTTCTATTATTAATATTCAAATTAATATGAATAGTTATATTATATTGTATTTTGAGTGCAAGAATTTCAACAATTTATTGCATTTAACATAAGGTATGAAAAAAAAATAGAGAAATTTTCTTGATATGATTATTTTTCTTTCTTGCAACATCTTTTTATAAGGCTAGATTTTTGAAATAGATAATTATATTTAAATATTTTCACTTTTTTAATTAATATTATAGATTTAAGATATTATAAATTAAATTTTTTTTTGAAATAATATTTATAATTCAGTCTTTTGGACATATATTTTATTGCTCTCACAGAAAGTGCAACTTAGATATAAATGAAAACTAGACAATATTCTAGAGATATTGAGTAAGACTTTTTGAGTAGATAATGTGATAAATATCTTTGGCCAATTTAAATAACTTAGATTGCTAATATCAACTCACAAACACTACAAACACTATTTTAAAATGAATATTTCATTGAAACATATATAATAAAACAATACTTCTTACCATTATCATACCACAATATATCAAAATCAAACTAAAATCTTCTATTTTCAAATATAAAAAGTAAAACATAATCTTTATTTTACATTTCATCCAGACAGAAAATTTTATTTGCTAATTCATGAAAATTTATTAAATTTAATCATCAAACGAACGGATAGCTGAAGATTCAAATAGCATCTTGATTACAGAAAATATTTCAATTTCAAACTTTCTTCAATTCTATCAATCTACTATCGTAATAAATTTTTCAAAAAAAAAAAATATATATATATATCACGTCTCATCTAATTTGCCAACGATCACACCGTAAAGAGGATTTCACGTGGAAGATCGATGAGCACGGTCGATGTCGCGATGCACAAAGAGACGAAGAAAAAAAAAAAAAAAGACCAGTGTACACACG